GGGCGAGGTGCTGCATGGCTTGGATCTCGTTGAACGCCGCTGACGGGATCAGCGTCATCTTCTCCGTGTCGCCGCCAATGCGAATACGCTTGAGCCCACAGATGCGCCCGCTCGCGCTGCCGTTCATACCAACAGCAAGTACGGGTGGTGTTTGCGTCATGACCAAAGGCATGCACGATAACTGGCAATTCTTCGAGAAGCAGCAGCACGACTTGCGCGCCGTATAGGATGACGATGACAATGGTGCATCCGATTTCCAGTGCAACTTGCAGTCATCTGGTCGCGCAAATTTCGGCAAGGCCGACGCGCGACGTGCAGTGGTGTCTTTCAAGAAGTTTTTGCTTGCGTACTGATGCAAGCTGAAGCTGCCCACAAGTGCAAGGTTGTCTAACCGGACGGTGCGTAGCAAGGCGTTTTGTCATGCGGCGTGGGCATTCGCCGTCGAACAAAGGGCATGCCAAGTGCTCGTGGCTAGCAGGTGAGAGCAAGCGGAAGCGCACACACGACCAAGATTTGGTGTCCGTGAGAACCAAGCAGTGCGCTCGCACCTCTTCGATAGCGCTGGCCAAGGCGGGCGTCTCAGTCGTGGTTGCACGCGCCCTCATTGATTTGCACAAGGATTTAAGAAGAGGTGGTGTATTCTCGTTGTCAAGTTAACACTTCATATACAGCCGTACAAAAAGGAGACATGATCAGCACCCCATTATCTGAAAATAAATAAACTTGTGCGTGCATAATTCTATTCGTTCCATATAAATGCAAATATATTATTTGACAAATGAAAAATGTTTAGTGCGCGTCACGGCCTGTAACGATGCGTCATTGGTTGCCGGCAGCCGGCCAAAATGTATTCCGGACCACCGGGGAGTCGAACGGCTAGCCGCGAGTCCGGCTGACCGCGAACCAGGTGGGAAGCGGTTTCGGCGTATCGATACCGTGTAACTTCCTGTGTCGCCCGTCCGTGGACTACAAAAGATGAGTATAAAAGATACACCAACGGTGAGTCGAACGGCTCAACCGGTTAAATGCGATCTTTGTGCGAGCGATTTGCGCGCGAAGCGCAGTTTCCAATTTGCTTTCGTCCGTGAACGAGAAGCAGCGATGAACGTCAACACGCCGCAAAAGAGCGCCAAGCAGCACGTCCGCAGCATCGATGAGACGTGGAATGCGATGTTCCGACGCATCTGCCCCAACGTCGAGCTTCCCGATCAGGTGGACGACCGATTGATGGTCGACTCACGCGGCGATGACATGGAGAACGCCCGACCAAAGGTCCAGAAGAAGACGGAGTACGTGAACTTTGTGAAGGTTGCGATGGACGACATCAAGAAGAAGCGCAGCGCGCAGGCCCAGCACGACGCTAACAGCGCCTAATCCCGGGGCTCGAGGCGAACGAACCAAATCAAGTTAATAATTTATTTGGAATAATGCATTGAGGTTATTGTGAGACTTGCCTGTAGCAATGAGGTTGGCTTGGGAACAATCATTTCCAGGTGGCATAACGCCCACAAGTTCGCATGCTTGGCCTGCGTCGACGCGTCAAACATAATGACTTCGTCGAGGGGAACGTGGAGGTTGACGTCGTGCGTGAGCTTGGCCTGCTGCTTGCGCTCAAACTCTTCTTGCCGCTCGAGCCGCTGCGCCGCTTGCGCTTCGAAGTCAAAGGTCGCACCGTTGCGGTACGTGCTGCGAATGTCAACCGCGTCCTTGAGCTGCGCGATCTGCTTCTCCTTCTAGAACGCGCGGGCGTGGCTGCTCGCGCCCTTGTCGTTGTTGTCGCCGTCCTTCTCCGCCTTGGCCTGGAGCTGCTTGCGCAGGGCGTCGCACTTGTCGTCGATTTCGTCGTCATCAAAGCCCTGCTCTTCAAGCTGGTCGCGCAGCTCCATGACCTTGACCTCGACCTGGCGCTTCCGCTCGTGCGCGAGGATCTGCTTGTTGACGGCCGTCTTCTTGTGGGGCTCTTCGTACTTGGCGTAGCCCATCATGGCCTGGCGCTCCTTCTCGCGCTGGTGCGCGGGCTTGACATAGCTGAGGTTGCGCTGCACGTAGCCACTCGTGCCCGACCCGCGGGTCGTCGCGAGCCCGATGCCGTTGTACATGGTCGCGGAAGAATCGAAGCTGTCCGATGCCACACAACCGGCTGAATCGCCTTATTTTTAAAGCTTCGCCAAGTTGCATACAAACAATAAGTTATTAAAAACATACGATTTAAAACGTACGATATGCCGCAACAGGAAATCTAATTTCGGCATTCGAGTAGGAATTAGATGCACAATTACTAGCTAGTTGTTGCTGCCAAGATATGTGCTCAAGCTGTCGTGTTCCGTGTCAATCTCGCAGCAGCACTAGGTAGCCAGCCAGCGCCCGAGAGGCCGGTCGGCGCAGTCGTAGTAGTCGCGCGTCGTAAAGAGGCCGGCCCAGCCGCGGCCGCTGCGATCACTCTCAAACTGCGCGAGGAACCGCAGCGCCCAGCGCCCTTCGAGCCACTTGACGCACGCGAGCGAGAGCCCGAGGACCGAGTCGCCAAGATAGGCCGAGTAGTAGACGCCGCAGCAAAACGCGGTCGCAGCATTCCAGTAGCACGTGGCCGTCCAGAGCACAAACTAGCCACACAGATCTGAGCCTTTTCGACGCTGTGGAGAACGTACGAGGCGCCCGACGGACGACCGCTTCCCAAAGACGAACGCAAGGCCCAGCAGCGGCGCGCCAAGCACCGCCAGCGGCATGACGCTGAGCACGAGCACGAGCGCCGCCTACTCTGCGCGTTGGACATGACACAGCGAAGAGGAGTCGCGTACGTGGGAGCAGCCGGCTTCGTGCAGCGTGGGGTCGCCGACCTGGATGCAGAAGAACTGCAGCGCGAGCCAAAACCACAGCAAGAAATCGGCCACTAGAAGCGCCAGGAACGAGAGGGGGCGGCCCCACGCGCAGCGCAGCAAATCGGGCGTCACCGCCACATGCGTCGGCGCAATCGAGTCCAGTGTCCGCCGCAGTTGCTGCCGCCACGTCGGCTGCGTCATTGCCGGCGCGTCATCGATGAGTCCCACCGCCTCTTCGAGCGCGACGGCCTTGGGCTCGGGCGCAAAGAGCGCTGCGTACCGGATCGACGACATGCTCGCGTCTGCAGCGGGCGGTGACGCGGGCGGCGTCGGCACCGCCAACACTGTCGGAGGACGCAGAACGAGCACGAGCTTGTCGCGGCGGCCCATGCCACTGTCCACGTCGCGAAGGGACTCGAGGTACGTGGCTGGCTTGCCACTTTGGCGCAGATCGAAGACGCCGAGCGCCACCTAATGCGATGAGCTCGTGGTGCGACAGGCGACATACCGTGT